CAGACAATTTGTTCCGTTCATTAATCATTATATTTCTTTACTTGAAACGTAATTTTCTGCTCGTTTATACTGTCATATACATTTCATATAATTAGAATAACAAATATTTTTATTCTATAGAAATCAACGTACATTTCTTCTTACTCAGAGTTTAAATGTAATTGTAAACAGTTTTTAGATATTTATTAACGAGAGTTAGTAAAATAATGATAGTTTAAAACTGTATTATTATGTTATATCATCACTTAAGCACTTAGAAATAAGTGAAAAGAAAGTTTCTGCTTCGTAATAGTCTGGATTTACTGTTTATTAATTGAAAATACGCAATGTTGAGAATTATGTGTTGCAGAAATAATAAGGCTTGATACATCGCATATCTACATGAATGAAGATATTTGATGGATAGAATTCCGTCTAACAAATAGCGACAATGTAAGTTGCAAGATTAAATGCAATTGTATCGATATAAATGAAAGAGGAAGGAAGATGTCTGGACGCTTTGATGGGCAATTTAATACGTAAATTAACGTTCATTTAGTGTTCGAGGGGGGTGGGATGAGGTGGTTGGATGCACGGGTGAAGGGGCCACTCGCAAAACAATGAATATTGTTTATATTACAATGGGCTCAGGTTGACAATACTATTTAATTAATTTTAAACAAGGGAGATGATGCGGACGACTGGAATGGAGCCATACAGAGACCGGTGGGGAGGGGGTTTGGATGAGGCATCAAAAACCCACCCCAACGGCCGCCGCCTCCTCCACGAGCGCGCCACCCCCCCTCAATCCAGTTAATTCAGAATCCGGCAGCGTATTTAGAAACAATGTAGCAATAAGCATCAATTAGTGCGCGGCAGTGAGTTTGTTTAGTCTCAATTACACGCAACAGCCGAGTCCTCGGCCAGTCGCGCGCGCTCCAAAAGCTGCTGCCTTCGTGCACAGAGCCCAGAGCTCTCCTCTCTGTTCGACGCTGATAAATTCCATCACGCCTCAGCTCGCTCATTAAAACTAAAAACTGGCGAGGGAAAAGCAAAGTTATATAACCGAACCGAACTCCAAACTGAAACCAACCCCCCATCTAGCAGCGCACGACCCTCAGGAGCTATTTCTATTCATTTCTTCTTGACCTGCACGAGCATTCACATGTGTATTCGATGAACCGTTTTTGCAACAATCCGGGTTTTGCCGGTAATTAACCGAGACCGCCCTCAGTCAATACGTGCGATTGATTACAGCCAGATTTTTCCACCGGCGATTTACATTTAATTGCCCGAATTACCTCAATCAATAACGCGTGCCGCCGGCTTGACGTGTACCCCCCAACATCACCCCTTTTCCACCCTCACCTCACCCCCACGGCCATCCCGCATTTCTCACTGCTAATCCCTCAATTAATCCCAAATACTACTACGATCTATCACTATTATCTACATTGCCAGATTCATATACGGGTTGCATGCACGTCGCTCTATATCTATAACAAAGACAGAAAGATGATACCAACAATTCATGATACCAACAACTCTACTTTGTACATTTCAATTCCTAAATTAATCATGAAAAAACAAATTAGCGATCTTTTATTGTAACTAAAGTAACATTTAATAATAATGTTAACTGTAAATGCAGAGTCAAATTTGCATCATTAAGTCTATTGTAACAACCCTGCAATTCAATTTCCTTTATTCAGTTAAAGTAAATTTGTAATGAAATGTAACATACATTTTATTTAAATTTATAATTTGTTATATTAATAAAAAAATAACTGGTTTAACAATTTGCTGATGATAATTGAATAAATTTTCCATAGTGTTTCTGTATAAATCCGGAAACGTGAATGCGAGGAAATGGTAGATAGAAATAATCAGCGAGTTCCATTAAGGGAATCGTAATTAATCACAATTCTTGAGGAAATTATTAAGTACTAGGGTAGGGTGTTAGTAGAGGTGATTGGTGGTGGTGGTGGTGGTTGTGGTGATTGTGCGAAGAAAAGACGCGGATAATTTGTAAATTGATGGATGCGAACTGGAGCGGCTCAAATTGACAAACAAAATGGATAGCGCAATTAAACGGCTAATCGAATGATTGATACGAGCACGGCTCGGCCCGGCGCACAAATTAAAACATACCTATTCAAAACTGCGAATAATTATAATTCAATTTGCCGGAACTCCCGAAACTCCCGAAATTCAACCGGATCCCAGCAGTTCACTTAATTAACTCGCATTAGGTCGATCACTATTTTACTAAAAAAAAAATAAAAAAAACAACAACAGCAGAACAAGCAAAAAAAAATATCGTGTGTTGTTGCTTCGAAAATCAAAATTTGTATTGAAAAAAAAAATTAGTATTATTTGTTTTCCAATAATTTGCTTTATTAATAAAGTATACATGTAATCCAATTGATGTATAATAACATATTTGTATATACGTTTTAAAATCAAAAAACAGATACAAAAGTTCGCTTAGTTGGCGTTAATACATTTGTTTCTGAAAAAAAAAAAACAAAAGTTGTTTCTCAATTTGTTAAAGTCTAACGATATTTCATTTCAAATTTTAAGAAGATCTGCAGTTGTCAACTAACTAAATTCAAATTTCTACAGGATTACAAATTCTGCGTTTTTTGTCATCAAAATTATAGCCTTCTTGTTTATCTTCATATTCCACTAGAACTAAGATATATGTATTTCCAAACAAAAGTTCATGTCTTTACTTTTTGTAGATTCCTTTCTGTTGCGAAAAGTTCTTAGTAAACTGAATACAGTTTATATAATATTTCTTGTCAATAAAAGAAAACAACTAAAGATTATAATAATTTTCCCTGAGACAAGTTTACTTGCTGATATATATTATTTGATTGGTAAATTCAAAAAAATCCCCTATTTTAATTTAAAATGAAATAGCTTTGTCTTTATTTGGTAAAATTGTATTAAAATTGCTGAATAAATTTACTTAATTATTGTAAAACATTATATATTCTGCAAAATCCTCTACAACTAATCATAGAGTCGTGCCAACATGAAGATTTGTTTGATACTGCTGCACGTAAATGTATTATACATTTATTGTG